GCGCAGATACGTAAAAAGTAATAGAGAAACCAATTTTTAATTATCAAGTGAAAAACGAAAGCTATATAAAGAAAAAAATTACCAACAAAAAGTAAATAATCTTCAAAGTATCCTCAAATAATCTTGAAAGAAGATAAAACGTGAAGTGAATCAAGTGGCAAAATTACTGTCGGACTATATACTGTGCAGTGAATTATTGTAATACGATATTGATTAACTATATAATGCAAAAGGAGTAATAAAATGAAAGATTACTCCTTCATCTATGTACGTATGTCTTTTCAATCAAAAAGGTGTAAGTTATTTTACTATTTCAACTTCAGTGTTTCAATGATATGTTTGAGACCAATTGGAGAATTACATTGGAGTTCAAGTTGAGAACTTGCATTTCCTCAACTTGAGAAACAGTCCTTTTTTCATACAAAGAAAAATGCCATTTTTGTTGAGTACGCCATGATTCTCCACTTGAGGTACTGTTGAGAAACAAGGTTGGAGATTTGAGGAATACCTTAGTTCTGAACTTAACCTCAAGTTGAGCTCAAAACTATATGTTTGTTGGGCTGTGCCAAACGACAATTCTCATCAATATTAAACTAATACATAGACGGATAAGTTAGTATACTATAAACATACATATGAACATATATGTATAAATAACAATTGCATCAACTAAAAAACGTAATTATGAGTAAATTTTTTTCCACGCGTTCACAGTTTGGTTATATTGGTATGCAAACATGTTAATGTACAAGTATTACACAGCTGTAAGCGTTCTGGCTGCATCAACTAGTTAATAACAACAGCAGCAACACACAAAATGAATAATTTATATTAACACTATGTGCTAATACCAATAGCAACCAGTTGTAGTAAAAACAAAAGCAACAGGCGGTTGTTTTGGCACAATTCCGCTGAGCTGCTGCGGGTGCCCACCAACTCGGTGTTTGCTGCTAGCCTGTTCGTTTGCCGTTGGTACGGTTACCTCTGTTAGTTGGCTGACTGACTGGCCGGCTGGCTGTTGTTGCTGCTTGTTATTTTCCATTTGACTCGTTGTCTGACTGGGGCTGTTCTGTTTGTACTTGTATATTGGAGCATTGTCGACAGCCACTAGCGCGCGGTAATCTCAGTCTAAAATAACGACGGAGCTGGTCAACAACTGACGCGGATAAATTTCGAATACGAATACATATACTGTACCAAACGGAAAATTTCGAAATTTCGCTTATACGAAAGTATTTAAATTCGCTTTCAAAGGTACATACACACGCATGTACATAAGGGGCAGCACGTCGTTAATGTTCGCAGAAGTGATTCGATTTTTTTTCTTTTTATTTATTTTATTTTTTGCGTCGTCGAAATGATATTTTTCTCAACTGTTCGTCAGTGGTTGTGAGGGAATGCAATACAAGTTTGTTTACTATATAAAAATACAAATAACAACGAATAGTAAAAGCAAAACAAATGATGAGTTTCTTGCTTTAAATAAAAAAATAATGATAATCCTGTATATAGGATAGTAGAAACGTCAAGTCAAACATAAATGTGTAGTGCTAAAGATATTACGTGATAAAGAGATGAAGTGAGAGAATGATCTCCTGCACAATAGTTTTTTTTAGGCATTCCAAAACTGCTATATCTTGTTTTTAATGTCAGCACGTACTCCACCTTCAAACGATACAGAATACTGCGACGAACGACATGTTAACGAGTTGTGTTGCTATTATTGACTTTTCGCTATACGTTATTCCGTCATTTTGCTCGCTAAGATTCAGTCTTTTTCGGAAAATCTACGAAAAAATACATTTCTAAATCGAGTGTTTTCAATAAATTTCGAAATACATACGCAACGGCAGAAATTTATCACTTTGCTGCAAAGGCTTTTAGGCGCCTATAAGTAAATTGTATTTGTATACTTACATATTTTGGTTTGAAAATGATGTCATCGTTAATTTGGAAATCAAAAGTTACGCAACGTTGAAATTATTTGATCTTAAAGCTAAATCAATTAATTAAAAATTTAAAATATCACCAAATAATACGCTTTTTAATAAAGGGTTTTGGATTTCTAGGCAACTGCCCACACGAGTGCACACATACAAACGAATCGAGTACGTGCAAACGATAACTCCATATCCGGTGTACCGCGGTAGGTAAATGACGAAATCGATAACCGAAACGAAAAACAACACTGTCTGCTAATATTCAACCACAGTAAACAAAGGTACGAAGCACAAATCGAAAAGAGTTGCTAAAAACAAAACAAGAAAGGAAAGCACATTAAACACAGCTCCACAGCTTCCAGCTGACAAGTGAATTATTTTTTGCAGATCCTCAAAACAGATAACTCCAATTTCCAGCTTCCATATTCTCACAAAATGGCTACAGACAGTGTTAAATCATACTTTTTACAAAAATACGAGGGCTTATGTAATTACATGGAGCGTGACACAATTGGTACACAAGTCGCTATTTATGGAACATCAGGCATAATGCTGCTGATTGCATACGTAAAGCGCAAACCGGCATACTTGGTGCGTCCTTTTAAAAAGCCATCCCACATCCCCGATAAACTGATAGACGAGCGTGTGATGCACACTGGGCTGATACGCGATATAAAACTTAAGGACCAAGACACGTTACTGCTCATAAGTCATAGGCCGCTTATACCAATTTTCGCCAGCCAGGACAAGGTGCTTCCAATTAAATTGCCGGGCATTAAAGTGAATGGAAATGGCATTTCTTGGTTGCAATCATGCATTATAGGACGTCGCGCCACATTCGTTCCGCTGGCGAAAAGCAAACGCGATGATTTTGTTGTAAGTCAACTTTGTTTGGTACATCCGCCCAAAGGTGGACGACTGCTCGACATATCAGAGACTTTGCTGAAGTTGTGCTTTGCACGCTTCGCTCCCGATGAGGCAGCAGCAGTGAAACGTAATGTGAAGTACTATGATCATCTGAAGAAGGTGGAGGCGAGTGCGCTCAAAAAGGAATCGTGGCTGCGTTGGATAGCTAAGCATCCATCACTTTGGACTATGCTACGTGATGCAAAAGCTAAGGTGTTTTCGAAGAAAACATTGCTGCCAGAACTTGTTCGCTGAAAGCGAGGAGTTTGATTTTGCAATAAAATAAAGTGCACTTACACATAAGCGACTAGCGTAAATCGCGAGACGTTGACGAAAAAGCAGCTGTTATGATGGAAAATGGCAATATATTCGTTGTCTTTTAACATTTGCTGCGCTCAAGTTAAGAAAACCTGGCATTGATTAGCGTTAACAAAATTTCAGTGTTTGTTTTTATGAGCTTTAAATGTATTTTTATGATTTTATTGGTTTAAAAATTTGATTTTAATATTAAAATGTATACTTAAATTGCTTCTTTCACAACCTGGCGCCACTTTTATTACAATAAATGCTGGTTTGAAACCGGCAAAATATTTTATTCAAACGATCTTTGTATTTAATTTCTTTCAAAGCTCTATTTTGTGCTACGATTTCATCTACAGCCCTAGGTCTCAAAAGTCACCAAAATGAGTTGCGGCATCTCTTTGGTTAAATATCTTCTATTTTTGTTCAACTTGTTATGCTCGGTGAGTTATAATACTAAACGTAATTAAGATATATGCATATCGTACATATTTTTTTAACAAAATTGAATTGAGGACAGGGCTACCAACTTAGATCAAACCGTGTCATTTTTGGCTTTATTTTACATCAAATGGCACTTAATTTTCCAATTTGGCACTTACAGCCGCACTCAGAAACGTTCCTTAAATTAGCTCTAATTCCTTGCCGAGGATTGAACTCGGATCTCCTGAATAACACGAAAGTGCTCTGCTCACTGGGCCATTGCTACTATTACAGCAGCGTTATCGAAATTGAAATTTATTGAAAACAAACAAAAAATTTCAAAATAATTCGTTAAAAAGTTAAGTAAAGGTTTTTGTTTACTTAACTTTAATGTTCATTAAATGCCGTTAACGAATCATTAACTGACTCTGAGAGGGAATTTTTTCAAATCGTTACTGAGGGATACCTTAAGTAATCATTAAACGACTCTGAGTGCGGCTGTTTGTGCCAAAATGGTACTTTTCAAAAATAGTAATATTTCAATAAATTTTTTTGTAAAATGCTTTGCATGTACTTCTTTTTCTCAACTAAAATTTTCTAATTTCTAAAGATTATTTCTTTTGGGATTGCACTTTTGTTTTAGAAATGTGCTTCTTATTTTATTGCTAAATGGGAAGGATCAAAAAGGATCACATCATTTTTGACACTTTTATTTTCCTATCTGGCACATTTTGGCACTTTTTTATCCTCAATATGGCACCTCATAGCTATGGATAGTTGGCAGCCCTGGTTGAGGATTTTCTTTTTGAAGAAAATCTTAGGAATGAATGTGCGATCTTTGTATTACTATCTGTTTTATATACATATTAATTTTCTGAATTTAGGAATCCATTGTCTCACATTTATGTACATACATACATACATACGTGCACACTAAGTATAAAAATTGATAGAAAAATAAGCGAAATGAAGTGTACCAATTGGTACATAAAATATATTTGTGTAGGTTTGTACGTTAAATGCATATATGAACCCAGAAAATAAATATTGGATTTCTGAATTCAAATACCTGAAGCTTTTAAAATGGATACTTATAAGTAAAGTTGAGACATTCCATATAAATTTGCGTGCTGAAAAGCAGAAGTTGTGCGAATAGGTGTAGACCTACATATGTACTATTTACGATGTACCTAGCACAATTGTATATATATTTAGATATGGTTTTATACAAACATTTTATGAAATACATATAATATAGAAATACTCTCAGTCTGTAGATTACGTACTAAATACTAAAAAAAAACTGTTTTAAGGGAAAGCAATAAAAGCCTTTAAAAAGGAAACTTGTTTGTCTACAAAAGTTCTTTTCTATATTCAACATCATTTCAATAGGATTTCTTTGTTTCCTCCTATTGAACAATGAATACAACTATAAAATATGTACATATGAGTTATTTGTTTAAATGATCTTATTTTGTTTTTGAAATACATATTCCATGTACCAGAGTACACCAATATTTGTAAATAGTATGAGTACTATCAAATATTTTATTAAAGAAAAAATTGTTTGTCATACGTATTTATGTCGCTTCAAACAATTACATTCTTAAAACATTTTAAAAGAAGTAAAGCTTTGCCGCATCAACCGGTTTACAACACGAAACGAAAATTACCTAAATTGTGAGTTAGTGAGATTTTGAGATAATACATACATATGTACTACATATACATACATACATATGAAGGGGTTAAGTGACATTTTTTTTAAATATAAGTTATACCCATATTTGTATAGTTATATATAGTGACAAAGAGTAAACATTCTTTGAATTAGTTAATTAACCTGCCTTCATTTAGGCAAAAATCATTTCAAATGAATTTACCCAGAATTTACAATTAGTAATCAACTTTAACTTTAACTATTTTAAAACAATGTCAAATCTTAGATCGTTTTGATTCTAACCCCTTCACATATCGCTAGCTTAGAAAGAAAAGTTGCTAAGTCCCATTTTAAAAATTTTACAGGAGAGGAAAAAATCTTCCTATAGCCATTTTCTTTAACTATTTCGCAAGACTTTGAATCAAACATTTTGGGCGTTTAAAGCAAAGCAAAACTCCATAAGAATCAGAAGGATTCGATATTTATTAAAAGATGTCGTATTATTTTGGCCTTATCGGATTTGTGGTGCTTCTTTTGGACTTAGCAAATTTTCCTTTTAGGGCTTATGAAGAGGAAAAAATAAAACAAGTACCTTTATAATTTTCGAAACCATGCGTATTCAATTTCTCTAGCCTCCTATATCAAAATATGAGTTTTCATAAAAAGTAGACTTAGCAACTTTTCACTCTAAGCTAGCGATATGTATGTTTGAATAGGCCAAAAATGAAAATGAGAGCAATAACTGCATAAGTACCTGTTTGTTAGAATAAATGGGAGTCAAATGGTTTCAAAGTTCTAATTAAATTATATATTTCAAACCTGTTTATGTAGTACATATGTGCATATGTATGTACCGAACATACAACCCAGCCAGCAAAATCATCGTAAACGAGCTCGTAACTGTATATTTTCTCGAAAAAACCGGCTAAAAAGTCATTTATGATAGCTGTTTACACTCGTTTTCGAGTACTTTTTCGCCTGAAATTTTGGAGCGCCTACGAATAGTCGTAAACGTATTGAAAAAGCATTCGTATGCGAATATTATATATTATAAAATATTGTGGTTAAAGATAAATTTCCACCAGAATGAAATTTTTTTCTTGTGTCGAGAAATTACTAAAAGCCTCTTTCTTTTCCTTTTTTTTTTGTTTTATCGTTTTCGAGCCTTTCTCTAACTTTTCGCCGTTCGAGAATCCCTCGTAAAATACAATGTTCCTAAAATGTACGTTTTCTTGCTGGCTGGGAAGACACTAGGTAAATTTGTATTTGTTAGAAAAAGGGTTGGGCTAAGTGCTGTATGCATGTATGTATGCTCAACTTTTGAGACAAATTAATAGCCAAAAACTGGTTTTCAAAAACAGCATAGTTTTAGCTTGAATCGGAATTCAGAAGTTTTTAAGTTTTTTTGCTTGCGTGTTAACGGCTAAAAATGGCTTAAGAAGCAATCTGAAGACAACAAATACATAGAACTCATCAACTTAGAAATAACGCATATTATATTACACGAATGCCTTCATATGTACACATATAGTATACGTATTTATCGTTTTAAAACCGATATGGATGTATGTATGTATGTATGTACAAACATTACTAAGTTATACAGTCATTTACTAAAAATAAAAATTCTTTTACAAGTTCTGCCTCTCGAGAGATATTCGTTGATTTTGTTGAAACTTCGTATTGTATCTTGTTTGTAATAATGGCAGCACCTTAAGCATAGAAAAGACGAATACAATAGAAATTATACAGTTATACATGTACATATGTTATCTACATATGTACATATTGTATATACATACATATCGCTAGCTTAGAATGAAAAGTTTCTCTACTTCTCTCTAATTTTTGCAAAAGACAATAAAAACTTTTCAAACTCAGTTTCTTCAAGCACTTATTTTGCAAAAATTTTAATACAAGTTTTCGAATTCAATTCTCCAACTTCAAACGAATCTTATCACATGTTTTGCGACTATTTCGTACTAAGAAAATTTGCGTATCACTAAATAGAAACGGTTAGAAATAAAATACATATGTATGTAGGTAGTTCGATCTTTTAGAAAACGATGCACTGTGGATTGTTCTGGCATTTTGCTTCAAAATATAATTTTTTAGGAAAAGTGGACTTATCAACTTTTCACTCTCAGCTGGCGACATATATGTATGTATATATTTATGGAAACAATTGCATTTTGCTTATAAAAAAGTAGCTAAAATTGAAGGTTAAATTTTTTTATTGTTAGCGCGCTAATTATGTTCTTTATCTATTTATTTAAAGCAAATGAGTCACAGGTAGCATAGAACAAAGCTAATTCAATAAAAAAGAATTTTTGATTCCAATTTGCTCTACTCAAATTCATCTTTTTTCTGAAGCTTCGGAGGCGTTTACTACTTATGTACATATACAGACGTTTCTTTTTCGTCGTTTTTCGCCATTTTTGATTTTAAGGTATTTTTTTTAGATTTAAGCAAATGTTTTTGCCCATTTATAGTAACAGCCTTATTTACAAAAAAATAAAACAGGTTTAAAGACCTTAAAGGCATTATCATACAAAATATCGAGTTATAAAGCAGTTAAAGTGTTCTTAAGCTTTTATGAATTTAGGTATAAGTATTTTAAGAAAATATTTGTCTTTAAGTTTTAATTTTTTATTTTTGGGATTTTTTTCTCTAGAAAATAATTTCATATGTGCAGTTTACGAGGTTTTATTATTTTGGATCCCTCTAATATCCGGACTGCGTGTGAAAAGTGCTCATTAATAGCTTTAATAATCATAGGATCAGGAGTATATTCATTTATTGGTGCCTAAAGGCAGATATTTACAAAAACTACACATAGATTAAACGTTTCACCAAAATAGGAACATTTTATACGATTTATTTTGGAACGAATCTTACCACCCTGTCGGAAAAATCAACCAACACCGACATTTTATACATTTGGAATTTTTAAGAACTTAGGTGAAAATGGAGAAAACGTCTTGAGGAAATTGTTTTTTATGCGCCTTTAATAAAATAAAAGAAAAATTGTTTATTCAATTGAATAGTTACAGTGGAAAAGGAAAATATTAATGGCCCTGTTATGTATGGCGACAGGGGTCTAGTTGCTGGTGTAGTAGGCATGGCTACCAGTATGTATAGCGATTAAACTCAGTATACAGAAAAACGCAGAAAACATCCGAATTTACCTTTTTGGCATGAACTTTTCCCAAGTACTTTTATCGCCGCAAGGAGTTGTTGCCGGTTGTCAAATGAATGGCCGATAATTAAGGTGATATCTGCAAAAGATATGTATTCCTCCTTTTTATAGTTCTCGTATTACGAATCGGAGCGATTTTTGCTGAAGTATTCAAAATTTGT